CGTATCAAGGCGTTTGGAGACCAAGGCAAATAGGCTTGGAGCCCCCACCACGTCACTCCCTGCTCAGATGGCCCTATAAAATGGCAACGTGCTGGGAGTACAGATTGTTGTTGCTTTTATTTAATAAACAGTCATTTTAAAGCACTGTTATTATATCTGACTGTTTTTAACAGCAATCCTAGCTCAGACACCACATCACTTTCCACATATATGTCATGAGCTCACTGAGCGTCAGATTACCAGATTCATATTGAAGTTGTTTTGGTGAAAGTAACTTAAAGTAATGCAAAAGTAGTGTAATGTCTTACATTTTAAAATCAATAATATTGTAATGTAATGAATTACTTTAAAATGAGGGTAACAAGTAATAAATAATGCATTACAGTTTTGAAGTAACTTGCCCAACACTGACTGCACTAGCATTGGAATTCTTCCCCTTGCTGAGCTGTCACATCAGATTAAGATCAAAAGTATGTCTAATTTGAAAAATAACTTCACTGAATCCCTCTTCTAAGTTAAGCAGAAATGTGTTAATTTAGACCCATTCTTTACCGCTCTCAATGCAGCTACTCTTCATCAGTGAATGCATATAATCAGAATATTTATCCCCATGGCTTGTATCTGGCTTTGGCTGCTAAACTTCTCTCCAGACATCATCTTATAGAAAACAAAAATCAAAAAACAACACTCTGGGGAATAGTAATGCTCCACTGTGACCCACACCTTTATTAGTAAGCTGCTGAAATATTCTTGCAGTAGTACAACATGAGCAGCATCCAGCTCCTATATTTATTATTATTGTTTTCTATGCCCTACTTCCTCCAGAGCTCATCAGATAAAATCTTGTGCTATAGCTGGAAATCAAAAGCCAAGAGGGGGAAATTACCATTATCATGTGTATAGCTGTGTAAATCATGCCTTTGGGAGTGTGTATCTTTCGATGTTTATTGTAAGATCTATCTCTCTCTCTCTCTCTCTCTCTCTCTCTCTCTCTCTCTCTCTCTCTCTCTCTCTCTCTCTCTCTCTCTCTCATATATATGTATATATATATACATATATATATATATGTATATAAATATATATATGTATATATATATATATGTATATATATATATATATATATATGTATATATATATATATATATATATATATATATATATATATATATATATATATATATATACATGTATATATATATGTATATATATGTGTGTGTGTGTGTGTGTGTGTGTGTGTGTGTGTGTGTATGGGGGTGGGGGGTGGGGGGGGGGGGGGGGGTTGGTTGGTTCGCTGGTGTTTTTGACAATTAACATTGCACCCACATTTTCAAAGTTAAACACATCTCTTTTAACAACGGTAGTTTCTGCATCCATACTGCTCCGCTTCAGCCCTCTCCCCCCTCCCCGTGAACAGTGGCCGCAAACTCAAACCAAATTAATGCAAACCAAATTCTTTTACATCCAGAACTCAGCTCTCCTAGATACAGAAGTTCTGACTAACACCTTTCACACATAGGTTCCTACATCACATCAAATTCCATCCACTCACAGTAAATGCTTAATTAACTTGTCATGTTTTAATTGTTTGTAAAATAAATTCTTACTTTTATAAATCTGACTCTTTTCTGAATCAAAACGAAGTGTGTACAGTCCCCTGATAAAGCAAGAGTCCTAGATCTTCTGATAAACACCATAAAGACCAAGCAAGGTTGGTATTCTATAGAAATTATATTTTCTTCTTCTTCTTCTTCTTCTATTCTATATTTAGATAGAGTATCACAGCTTACTGGTCTTAAGTAGAAGTACTATATATATATTGAGCTCTTAAAGCACTCAAGTTGCAAAACCTTACATGTGCCTGTTTTCAGCACATAGAATTCAGCTGGAGAGGAAAGTAGTTTCAGAGGACAGGATTTGGAGTCTTATTTCTTGATATTTGGACATCTCTCCTCTGATTGGATAACAGCAATGTGACTCTACTACATACCCTGTTTGATTTGCAACGTAGATGTTTTGTCGCCACAAATAACACAAGCTTGAAGGAGTTCTGCTGTGTGGGGGAGTTGCTAATGCTAAAGGTTAGCTTCTAGTAGTAGACCTTCTCCTGGATGCTAAAACAACAACAGCCTTCAGTCACGAGCCAATATGGGTGAGTCCATATTCAGCTTTTCAAACTAAGCTTTTTACTGTCTATTTTCTATCAGAAGCTAATGCCAGTTTTCACAATCAGCCTGCATGTTAAACTCAGAGTGACCGATCATTTTGAAAATTAATAAGTAAAAAGTGGTTTCTCAGTAAAGGACCTGTTTAAATCAAGCTGAAAAACTGATTGTTGACATGAAAGACATCTGATTGGTTAGTGGTTTATTGATCTTTGCTGTTTTTTGCTGAAAAATATCTAAATATGTTTTATTTCACACCCTGACTTGTAAATCCAGCTAATGTGCCAACATACAATACATGGAGCGCATGTGTGCGGTTTATTTCCCTCTTCCCCAGCAGAGTTTGGAAAATGCCAAAGCCAGTAGCACACGTTATTAGCTCTAAACACAAGCAAGGAAGCTGTATGTCCTTGTTTGTATGTGTGCAGCTTCACATGTTGCAGAGATAATGAGCAGATGACCCTGCCCACGTTGAGAAGTACTGTCTGAAGTACAAAAAGAGCTGATCCATGCCATGTGAAAATAGTAACTGAGACTCTGACACTGACATGGGCACAGACCAGATAAATAGGACACAACAGAGCCCTTTCATCCATCTGCACAGCAGCTGGCAGCTCACTGTCAGTCCCACTGATTAGAGCAGTCTCCTGTGGTCCAGTTAAATTAATAACTAGTTTTCTCTGAATGTTATCCTCAAACAAACCTGAATCGAGTGCAGGATAGTCAAGTGCTGCTGTCACAGTGGTCTACAGTGTTGTCATTGGCAGTAACATAAAGAACCACCTCAGGGAAGAAAATCGAGGCTTTTCTAGAGACAGAAAAGAAGTTCTGACTGCATGAAAAGCAACCATCTAAGTAATAATGTTGACGTTAAAAGTTGTTAGAAGGTTACAATAACAATAAAAGGTACTTAAGCATCATCTTTAAGATAGGTATGACAGAAAACATTTTAATGATTGTTTCTGATTCTAAGCGGTCACTGCTGAACATGAAAATAGTCTCCTACACCTATCTGCTGCATTACCTTCTAATATAAAATAGATGGTGAAACTCTAGGATTTGAAAAGCCTGACAGATCTGCATCACACTGTCACTTTACATTCATGGGCTCACCCACCTTGACTCAAGACAGGCAAGGCTGTTGTTGGTTTAGCGTCCAGGAATCAGCAGAGTACCTCTCAACTAGAAGCTAACTGTTAGCATTAGCAACTCCACCACACAGCAGAACTCCTTCAGGCTTGTGTTATTTGTGGAGATAAAACATCAACGTTACCGAGCAAATGGAATCAGTGGTAGAGTCGCACTGCTCTTGTCCAATCAGACGAGAGAGGATATAAGACCCCCCTCCTCACCCCGAGTACAACTTAGAAGGCATTCATTCCTACTAGAGACCACTGTAAATGTATCGATCAAGCAAGTGAACCACACTTTTAAACTATACAGGGCGAACATACTAAAAGGCTAAAATTCGGGGTTGTAATTAAATCATCATTAGAGCTAATTACTTTAAAACTGAATATTAATTATAACAAATATTTATATTTAAAGTCACATGAATACCAATCACCACTTTTGAATGTCTCGTTAAACATGATTCTGTCTGTTTTAACAACTGGTGTGAAACCCTTTAATCACTCTGAGCTGTGAACTGAACACAGGCTCCTTACAATGCAGCATCTCAGTAGAAGCATGGATTGAAAAGCTACTTTGGGTGCAGAATGTGGGATCTATAAAGATAATCATGAGAATATAGGTGCTACATGAGATGGTGAAAACCAGAGTTCTCCAGTGCTCATTATCAGTTCTGTCTTTGCAAGCTGTGACTCCACAAGAGCTGTTTCAATTGAGCAAACAGGATATTCATTTGTAATGTTTTATGTCACATGGAACAAAAGTCTTGCCTTTCTTATTTTCAGATTTAATGCTAAGAAGAGCTTCTCCTGTTGACCTTCTGCTTGTTGGACATCTGTACTTGTAATCATGTCTCAACTTTCACAAACTGACCAAAAACAGCAATCACTATGCTGGTAAAAGGTTTGATATCTTTTTGTCTTTAGAACTGCTTTAGTTTGTCACCTCAAAGATTCACCAAGGTGTTGGAAACATTCTTCAGAGGTTCTGATCTATGTTGACATGGCATGATTGCATAGTTACATCCATGATGGGATCTCCCCTTCTACCACTTCCAAAGTTCCTGGCATGGAATGAGATCTGACGAACTTGCAGGTCGTTGGAGTCCAGTGAATTCATTTTCATGTTCAAGAAACCAGTTTGAGCTTTGTGACATGGTGTATTATCCTGCTGGAAGTAAAAGATGGGCCCACTGTGGTCATTAAAGGATGGACATGGTCAGCTTCAATAGGCTGTAGTGCTTAAACCAGACTCAGGTGGCACTGACGGGTCCAAAGAGAGACGAGGCAGGATCATATTGTGACCTCTGAGAAAGTACAATGATGCAAATGTGCTCAGTACGTGGCTTTGGCCCCTTTTGTTTCTATAAATGAGTTTCATCTGTAAATGATTGGCTGTTAAACCACTTGTGTTAACAGTCAATTGGACAGGCATGCCTAATAAAGTGGCTATCAGAGTATATAACAAATAGACAGTCTTCATTGTAATTTTTGCCTTAAAACGTCGGTCATTTCACTCTTGCCGGTTTTAACATTCTAACCCAACTGTCACTGCAGATCCGTGAAGACAGTTCTTGTTTTTCTGTGCATCTGTTCTGGAATGTCACAAGCAAGAGTTTTAGTCTTTTATGCTTTGCTTCTTTGGACTGAGCTTGCCTGCCTTGTTAGCCCTCTGACAGCTTTGCATCTCTTTGTGTTTCCTCTGCAGCTGGGGGGATGTGGCATACTGGGCGTAGGGGTCTGGCTCTCCGTGACCCAGGGAAACTTTGCCACTCTGTCATCTTCCCTTCCTTCTCTGTCGGCAGCCAATCTGCTCATAGCAGTGGGGACAATCATCATGGTGATCGGCTGTCTGGGCTGTGTAGGAGCTGTCAAAGAAAGCCGTCCTCTGCTGCTGACGGTAAGGTATTTTCTACGATTAGATCCCTGCTGACTTTGGGCTGAAGGTCGTATTCCAGTGATCTTATTTTGTTGTTATTGGTACGACAAACACTATCACCAACTTTTCATGATGCTACAAGCGCTGACATGCTCATCTACAATGATTACATGTTTTGAGGCATTTCTCACAGATTGGTTTGACGTGGTGTTTATTTCACAGGTATCAATTTAACAACAATATTTTGCATTTAATATCATGCTTAAAGTCTGTCTGGTTCCGTTTTGGTGGAATCTATCCAGTGCACGTTTTATTTAAAACAATCTTTTAAAGCTAAATTGCACAATTATGTTGCTGCACGTTAGACGACAAAAAGAAACTGAAGTAGCACAAAAATAAATATATAAAATAACAACTAAACATTAATCTAAAGGAAGACTCGTGTTATGTTGTTTGTGGCTTTGTTGAGACTAACATTAGTATTTTTGCTAAGCAAAATTTTTATTGCATTTGACCTCTTTTCCACATTCAAACTGTGTTTTTGGCTAAATTAATAAAGTCCTGTCTTCAAGGCCAAGTTCTGAGCGGCATCTTTCATTTTACAGAATGCTGGAAGTATTTTTTTTTATATGTAAGAGTTAATAATCAGGGACAGCAGTAGCTCAGGAGGTAGAGCGGGTTGTCTAAATGGAAGGTTGTAGGTTTGATCCTGGCTCTGACCAGAGAACGCTGCTTTGGTGTCCTTGGGCAAGACACTTCAACCCACCTTGTCTGATGGTGGTGGTCGGAGGGGCCAGTGGCTTTAGTGTTCGGCAGGCCTCGCCTCTGACAGTTCGCCCCAGGGCAGCTGTGGCTACACCGTAGCTCATCCCCACCAGTGTGTGAATGTGTGTGTGAATGGGTGGATGACTGTGTTGTGAAGCTCCTTGGGGGGTTGCAGAACCCTAAGAAGGCGCTGTACAAATGCAGGCCATTTACAGGCTAAAAACAACTTGTGACCCTAATGCTAACATAACCATCGCCAACTATGTTAGAAAACTTCTTTACTGATTATTTTAAAAGGTGATAATGTTGCATTAAAATGTATTAAACTAACATCCAAAGATAAATACATGGAAGTTATACTATTTTAGGGCAAAGTTTACTTTCTAGGCCCAAAGTTGTAATAAGCTATTGCAGGAGTCTCGTAGTTGTCCTTTTTAGAGTTGATTTAACCCTTTTAGTACTGCCATTGTTCAAGTCCACCTGGCCATGTTTATCTTTATCTTTGAATAAATCTGCCAAAAAAGGTCCCATCTGAACAAAAACATTTACCTCATTATCAGGACAAGCTTAGCTTTCTATATCTGTAAATATTTTGCAGTTATTTTGTTTGAAATTATCCAAAACAATAATGTTATAACAGAAAAAACAAAAAACGGATTTGATTTTTCTTCAGAAATTTATGGATAGAAAATACAAATGTACATGAATAAAAAAACTGAAATAGCATAAATGTAACCTAACATGGATTAGAACCTTGTATTGATTTATTTTTACATTAACAGCTTTCAGTGTCTGGGTTTCAGGCGATATTGTCTGTTGTTACACCCCTCTGTGGGCTCAGCTAGGGAGGAGAGGGGAATAAACATAAGTTGGACCAGTATAACGATAAGTGACCCTTATTGGGGAGAAAAAGGCTTGACCAAGCAAAACCAAACTCAAAGTGTCCTTGTATTTTCAAAGGTTTTATTAAAAAGAACTGAAAAACCATAAGAAGGGGGCAAAAAACCTTACCAAGAAATTAACTAAGTTAAAATTAATTAATTAACTGAAAATGTCCAGAGGACCAACCACCCTATAAATCCTAAAATAAATCTCCTTTATTTAAAAGGCTTCGAACTTAAGAAGGGACAAAAATCCCACCAAGTAGTTAAACAAAAGGTTTGTCTGAAAGACAAACCAAACAAAAGTACTAACTTAACTGAAGTTAACTAAAGTTGTCCGAATACCAAAACCGACTCAGGAAAAAGAGACTTCAAAAGGGGAAAACCCCACCCGGTAAATTACCAAACAAGGTCTGGAAAACTCACCAAACCAAAAATTACAGGTAAACTCAATGTTATCCCCAAAACACACAAAGTCCTAAAGTTATTTCTTCACAAGAAGCAAACAATAAGGTGGTTTAAACCACAAAAGTCCACAAGGTAACCACCAAGGGGAGAGAACCACACGTTGCTGCTGCAACCACCAAACATTTCTCTCCCCTGATGAGCTCCAGCTGGCCGCTTTTGAAGAGCCAGCTGACGATGCGCAAAGTCCCAGCTGGCGTGACTGATGCTCTGGCGCTGTCCACGGTCCTGAAATGACGGATAGCTTCCCAAGGAGTAGCTGTCCACGGTGCTGCTCTGCTGCTGCGCTGCTGCTGCTGAACAGGGAACGGAGCGCAGTACACCACTGGGCCCCAAAATGGCGGCGGCTGTAACATCCCCACCCTTAAGAGAAAAAAGGGGGGGTGAGACAAAGAATTTTAAAACCACACCTACGTAAGACGCCACCATCTTTTTTCTTAAATATAGCAAGATGGCGCCCATGAGTGGCTGTGCGTCTGCTAGGCTCCTGATCTGTTTTGGTTATTTGTTGTTTTTATTGTTTTTTCTCTATCTGGTGCGGATTCCCTGCTAACATATGATCGAGACTTACTATTGTCGATCAGGAACGCGATGATCAACCTCCAGAACTCCGATACCGGACCCGCTTTCCCACCGCCTCTGGAACCTGGCGTTAACCCAGGTGTCGGCCCTTTGTTACCTGTGGGCCTGCCGCTGCCCCGGAGACCATGGAAGAGGAAACGGGGGAGGAGAGCTGGCTTCTTCGTTCAGCTTTACCAGCTCAGTGGCCTAGTGGTAGAGTGTCCGCCCTGAGACTGGGAGATCAGGGTTCGATTCCTGGTCGGGTCATACCAAAGACTTTGAAAGAATGGGACCCAATGCCTCCCTGCTTGACACTCAGCATTAAGGGGTTGGATTGGGGGGTTAAACCACCAAATGGTTCCCGAGCGCGGCTGTGTCTGCAGCTCACCGCTCCCCCAGGGGATGGGTCAAATGCGGAGAACAAATTTCGCACACACATCAGTGTGTGTGACAACTAATGGGACTTTAACTTTAACTTTAGAACCCCCTCGGGCGTAGCCTGGAGTCGCTACGTAGCTTAGCCCGCCAGCAGACCGCCATTATGTAGCCCGCGGTACACACATCGCCAGATTTCTCTGCGAAAATGACGTTAATTAACGCGCGTTCCATCGCCAATAAGTCTCACATCCTAAACGATCTGTTCTGCACTGAAAAATTAAACTTTTTGTGGATTTCTGAGTCGTGGCAGCGCGAAAATGACGTCACTCATCTCCGTGAGCTCTGTCCTTAAGACTGCTCTTTCTTCTCTGCTTCACGGACCACAGGCCGCGGTGGAAGAACAGCTGTTATCTTTAAGAAACATTTTTCGTGCCAATTTATATCCTCAAACTCCTACAGCTCATTCAAGATGATCATGATTAAAATTGGTCGAGCTCTACCAGTTTATGGAATTCTGGTCTATCGCCCACCTGGATCTACTTCATCCTTCCTGTCTGACTTTCAGGACCTCCTATCTTCAACTATTAAACTAGACAGGATAATCATTGTCGGAGATTTCATCATCCACGCTGAGGATCTATCTAACAGCTCTACCAGGGAGTTCCTAAACATGATGAACTCTTAACTTCACTCAACACGTGTCTGGTCCCACTCACAGAGCAGGCCACACCCTGGATCTGGTCTTTTCCTACGGACTTCTTGTTGATAAGCTGCAGATACATGATGTTGTGTTCAGTGACCATAAGTCAGTTTCTTTTCATATTAACTTAAATTCTGAATCTCTTTTACCAGACTCTGCCAAGCAATGACGTATTATCAACAGTTCTGCCATTTTAAATTTCTCCTCCCTCTTTGACTTTGTACCTTCTTCCTCTGATGATGTAGAGCTTCTTACCAACTCATTTAATGATCACTGCCTCAAAATTCTAGATCAGGTCGCCCCTTACAAAACCAGCCGCAGTTCCAGTGCCTCCAGTTCACCCTGGCTGAACAACCAGATTCTTGAACTTAGACGCTCCTATAGAATAGCGGAACGACGGTGGAAGAGGACAGGTTTGGTTGTTCATCGTGAATATTTTAAAGAACTTCTAGAGTCATACAACAAAGCTGTAGAAAATGCCAGGTCTTCTTTCTTCAGCAACCTCATATGTCAAAATAAGAATAATCCTAAGGTTTTGTTTGATACCATCTCCAGCATCGTTTCTTCTCCTCCGCAGCAGGCTCAGCTATCTTCAGCTGATGATTGTAACACCTTTCTCCACTGTTTTGCCAACAAGGTGCTGAATCTGAGATCCAGCATTCCACCTTTTCATCCAGGCTTTCCCCCGCTAAATATTCTAAAAGATGGCTTTGTTCTTGTTCACACCTTGACTTTGTTTTTACTCCTGATTTTGGTTACTATTGTTGTCACTGCTATTGTTTTTATGATGTTTTTATTGGTTTGAGGTATTTGCCCTGATTTTACTCATGTTGTACAGCGCTTTGTGATTTATATCTGTGAAAGGCGCTATATAAAAAAACTTTACTTACTTACTTACTTAAAAACCAACAAGACACCTTAAAACTTAACAGTAACCTCCTTTTACACTACCAGGGCATCCCGCTAACTGCCTATGGGGGAGCTTCTCTAACTCAACCCCTTGCTCTTCATGCGGGTTAAGGCGGGCAGATTAAGCACATGTGTTTGTGGACACATACAAACCAGCGTGCTGAACAGGGAACGGAGCACAGCACACCACTGGGCCCCAAAAACGGTGGCGGCCGTAACATCTGTCAATGCTCAGGCGTTTTTAGCTGCTGTGGTCTTCTGCAGAGCAATTCCTGTCTTGCTGCAGACAAAACCCTTTCTTGCACTCTTTGCACATCCAGGGAGTGTTTTTTTTTTTTTTTTTTTTTTTGCACTGAGTGTAC